GCCCTGCAGTAGCACTGTGAACACATACCCGAGCTCCGCTGCCCTGCGGTAGCACTGTGAACACATACCCGAGCTCCACTGCACTACGGTAGCACTGTGAACACATACCCGCACTCCACTGCATTACAGTAGCTGTGCAGGTGCACGTATGAGTAGCTGTTCATTTATATCCAGTTCCACATCCTTAACCTATCTCTTCACTTTAAAATGTCCTTATGTAGAACTCTGATAAACATAATTTCAGGTAATAGAAGTCCTTATGTTATTTTCAAAAAGAACGTAAATGAATTCTCAAATATAGACACAACTACCATGAAAATAGAATTTGAGATCAGGCCTTAATTTACACTCGAATTGCTGATAGGACGTTCTTCACTGCCTCAGTCCCTGCCTTGCTGGGGTTGCGGCCTGGGACTGGACGCAGAGAGCCTTCGCTCCCGACTCCTGCTCCCCGTTATCTTGCAAAATGAGTAAATGAATTTAATAGCGCTTAAAGGATACTTGGAAACCCACAATTAACTATACAAAATAGTGTGACTTTTAAATGGAGTTAGCAAGTGCCAAACAGCCTTTGTTCATGGCCAGAAGGACATAAGCCTTCACTAACAGAACATTTCTCATTCTCCAACAGAATTTTTTCACTTAAAGTGACAGTTGAGTTGTATTAAATAGGAAAAGCTACAGAGATACCACAGTCTGTGCCATTTCTGAAAAGAATGATTCACCCTGAAGTGACACTAAAAACTAGATTACTGAATTTGAAAAATGGTCAGTGATGTAACTGAGACCCTCTAAAGTCAGGAAGGGTCCCATTTCGATTTAATGTGGCTGGAGCCTTCTAGAAACACAAAGGTCAAGGTTGATGGCGCTTTTCATGCTGAAGCTTTTAAACACATTGAAATGTCGCCAGGAATTGTTTTAATTTTCTTTTTTCAGGACAAGTGTATTAACAGTATGAAAGTATTTGGAAATTAGGAAATCCATGTTCCATTTTAATGACAGTAGAGGAGTTACTCTAATAATAGATGGTAATGAAATATGTCATTACAAGTAGAGTGATAGGGATTTATTCTACCATTTTCAGTTGAGACTGGTCATCATACAATAGTTTGAAAAAGTATATTACACGGAGAAATAGAGAATATGCCTTCATTTCCTTCACGGCCCTCCTCTTTAGCTAGAAGTAAAAATGGTAACAAGGCTTCTGCTCCTAATACACAATAAAGCAGATTATTCAAATGAAAGAAATTAAATTTTCCATATACTTTTTTATTGTTGAATTAAATCTAGCATTAAAATTCTGTTAAAACAACAAAACCACTTTAAAACGGAGGGAAAGCCAACCATGAGCCACCAACTTAAGTCAACAAATATCATATATTCACTTTTTCCTTGCAGTATTTGCTCATAAATGTGTATATTTTGCTCTAGATTTTTCCTCTAGTTACAAAACTAGTACATGCTTATAAAAATTCCAAGCCATAGAAATGTATAGAAAGCTAAAAGGCCTCTATAATCACACTCTTCAGAAGTTACTATCTACATTCCTATATTTTTCCCCCCTGAAATCTTTATTCAAAGTTTGACTGTGGTATCAGATTTGTCTTTCTTACAAGGGCGTTCTGTTTGTAATGGTCAGCCAACATTTTTACCTGATTTATTCTGATAATTTCTCATAAGCACCCTGAGGACAAGCTCTGTGTTAAATATTTTTTATTACCTTTTGTGCTTCACTAAGAGCTTTACATATAGTAGGGTTTCCCATCAGTACATGTTGGGTGAGTGAACAGCCATGGGTTTTTATTTTTTTATTTTTTTAAGATTTATTTATTTGACAGAGACACAGCGAGAGAGGGAACGCAAACAGGGCGAGTGGGAGAGGGAGAAGCAGGCTTCCCGCCGAGCAGGGAGCCCGATGTGGGGCTCGATCCCAGGACCCCGGGATCATGACCCAAGCCAAAGGCAGACGCTTAATGACCGAGCCACCCAGGTGCCCCCTGGGTTTTTATTTTTTATCTTTGACTTTGGCCTTCATTTATTGACATAATGGTTCTTATACTAAATACCCATCCTTATGTCTTTTCCCAACCAATTTGAAATAATTGTGAATAATGTTGTGAATTTCTACCAGTTAATAAAATGCCAATGAAAGCCAAAAAAAAAAAAGCCAAAATTCGGTATAAATTTGGGTACAACTCTCTTAATTCCCTAAAACTTTTTTCCTTTACATACATAACCATACTTCCACCAGCTAAAAGTTCATTAACCCACACAATACAATATAAAGTGGTCTTTGAAAGTAGCTAGTAATTGAAGGTCTTATAATAGAACTCTCCCAGTTTTTCATGCTGTTTATTGGTAGAGATAAAAAGGGAAGTTTACTTCCCTAACCCAAGTCTTTTGAATCGGAGTCATCTGGGAAAGTGATAAAATGGCTTCTTGTACATAATGGAGGCAGAACCACCCATGTCATTGCTGGTGTCTGCCACATACTTTGACAAGATTTTACAAATATTAAATATTTTCTTCCTCTATCCTTTCAGTGATAATACACCAAATACTGCATTAATTTCAAAAGTCCTACAACCTAGGAATTTACAAAGACTGGTCAATTTTATAAAATATTAAAACTAAAAGTAACAGTAAGGTCTGAATTTTGTTTCAAATGAAGTAATTAGGTTGGTTAAAACAGGAGTGGGGGAGGAGATGAACAAAAGTCTGTAAAATGCTTATAAATAAGAACAGACATGGACTGAAGAAGAGTTTATTGTGCGATTATTAACAAGGCTCTTTGTAGTGATAATTAATATTCCCCATGAAAGTATCTTGAAACTAAAATATAAGTCTCTTTGTAGAGATCACACTTTTCACGTATTTTCATCTGTTTTATGGTGGTTAACACTTATTGGTAATAATTCATTAAAAATTCATTTATAAATACGACATGAAGTATTGATGATGAAAGGATCTTTAATTAGAAGCAGTCACCTGAGCACTTTGAGTTTAATTCTGGAAAGAAGCAACTTAACGATCTTATTAAGCGGAGCCTTAGATTTTAGGGCTGAGGATAGTTTAGTATCTTGGATTGAATTCAGAATTGATTTCATGGCCAGAACAGTGGAGGTCAGTACCCAGGTACGCTCTCCTCGCATCATGCTATACCTGCTGAAGACCAGCTAATTCTTGATATCATAAGCCAGGAGACCGTATAGTTTGCCTCAGTGAGAGTTATCTAAATATTGATGTAATCCTCGGATCTCCGACGCTTCTCAGAAAATGGAGTTGCTATAAAGCAATTTTTAGAACCTGGGTTCTGGTTTTTAATTCAGCTTCATGGTGATTAGTTGGGAAAGTTTTATTACTATCAAACTATACCAGATTCTCAAATCTTCTTGCATTCCATGGAAATTCTGTACGCCTGTCAAGTGAAAGACCCGACCGACTGCTCTCAGTTTACTCCATGCAAAACACGAACACACGTAAACCCAAACTGCGGCTCCCCGGCGGGCAGTCAGTGCTGATGGTAGCCGTGGGGGTCACAGCCTGCCTGTGAGGGAACTCTCCTTGGCTGGTGGTCCTCCAAAACTTAACTATGTCCTTAGCAAGACTAGAAAGCCTGACCAGAGTCAGCATCGCCCTCTCAGAGACTCTGCCGAGCTGATCACCAAAACCTCACATGTTATCCCAGCAACTCTGGAGACTTGTAGGGTCTGTAGGAATCCTTTCAAAATACTTTGATTTTCCATTTTTTTGCACATCTTTCGACTTGACCTCACAGAGACGTAAAATAATATGGTTGGGGTGGGATTTACCTCCAATTTGTTATTTATTTCTTGATACTTTTGTGTATCCTGAGAACTCTATGTAAGATCAAGGATGGGCCATCAGCTTGGGTTTGAACACCCTCACTGTGTCGGTGATTTTAGCTTCACTTACAGGAGAGGAAACTGAAGCTCTGAGAAATTGAGTAACTTAAGGATAAACCTGTGGTAGGTGGTAGAGCCAGGATTTGGCCCTAGGCCTGTCTGGCTCCAAAGCCACTGTCTAGCACAGTTCTTTCCTTCTCTGAGGAATATCTGAAGGGAAAGAAGGAAGGTGTCCCAATTTTAAATTTCTGTCTGAAAATGTAGCATTTTTGGATTCTTTATAAATTCTAC